TACTCAAATGATTGATAGGAAATTATTAGATCTAGAAGAGGAATTTGCAAATTGAACCAAAGAAGATGAATGGAACAAACACATTGGAGCAAACAATTACTGAGATTGAATGTCAAATGAATTAGGTAAATGATGCATCCAGATCTCATAGAGATTGAAAGTTCATCATCTATCACTCTTAAGATCTAATACTTAGAGATATGATTAAAGGGATTAGAATAAGGTCTGCCTTCAAAGACAATGCATCCTATGCTCTGGTCTTAAAAATTAAGTTAAAGACAACAAACAAAGTACTCAAAGACAATGACTGGATTCTAGATATAGAAGAAGAACTTCATTAGTTTGAAAGAAATGATGTTTGGACACTTGTTTCAAAGCTTGAACATCAAAGTATTATTGGAACTAGACATATCTTTAGAAACAAGCTAAACAAATAAGGTAAAGTGGTATGAAATAAAACTAGATTAGTAACTCAGGGCTACAATCAACATGAAGGTATAATTTTCACTAAAACCTTTGTACATGTTGCTAGACTTGAAGCTATTAGAATTATGTTAACCTTTGCAGCTCATAAGACATCAAACTTTTTTAAATGGATGTATAGAATGTCTTTCTAAATGATATCATTAAAAAGGAAGTATATGTAAGACAACTTCTCAATTTGAAAATTCTTCTTTCAAAGATCATGTTTTTAAACTTAAAAAGGAAATTTATGGTCTAAAGCAAGCTCTTAAGGCATGGTACGAAAGATTAAGTAATTTCTTAATCAATAAATAAACATCGTCTTGTTCAAGGGCTACCTAAGCCCAAGACGAAGCTTGAGGAAGAGCAAAGTCTTCATGCCAAGCATTTCTCTCAGCATGAAGTACAAAAACAAAAGCAGAAAGAGGTTGAGCTAGCCGTTGAGGAAAATAAAATGTTGCAAGCTGAAGAATCTCCAACACTCCCATAAGTCCAAGTTGTTCCTACACCAATTGTTGTACCTTCTATTTTGTTTTAGGAACCAACTTCAGATACTGAAGAGGTATCGCTGCCTGTTGAAGAGACCATTAGAACATTTACTAGAACAATCAATGTTGTTTCACAACCCTCTAATAAATCAAGTAAATTGAAACTGAACCTCTAAATGTGGCTACCTCATTTTCCTTTGGTCCCAATTTTTGTTGGTGCCAAAAAGGGGAGTACAATAGTTATTAGTTTTTTAAATTTTTTTTTAAACTTCAAATTTTATTGCTTCATCTCAAGTAGATTTATTTATATGAAGTTCATATATACTCTAACAAGTATAATATGCTTTGATATTTATGCATGGTATGCCCTAATGAAATATATGATTATATATGATTTGATGAAAGGCATGAATATATAGTCTATTTGAACATGTCAAGAACGCTTACTCTGAATAGGTATATATGATCAATAAGAAATATTTGACTGAAAAACTAAAATCAACTAGATCTGTTGTGCTTAAAATTTTCTTTTCATCAAAATGAGAGAGATTGTTAGATCAAAAGACGATTTTTAATCCCTCAGGGTATAATAATGATAACAAACTTAGACATTTTTCAAGAGAAAAGTTTTTCAAATCATACTATAAGACGAATTTTGATAAATGATTGATTATATTAACATTAAGTCTCTTAGATGAACTACTTCATTTGTAAGACAAAAACATATAAATAAATAATTTATGATGCCAGATAACCAAATCATATTTATCTATGTTATTCTTTAACAAATCAAAAGAAATAAAAAAACTTATTCAATACTTGCACTACAAAAAAGAAATACAAACATGATTTATGTCAAAGAAAGGATAAACAAATCCCTCAAATCATGAGAAATCTAAAAAAAAGGTCATTTCTGACTGACATTCGCAATAACTCCTTATATTTGGTACTTTAAAGGTGATAAGTAACTTATTTGATCAGATAAGAGGTGACAATTAGGTGAAATGTATTTAATGCACTAAAAGACACTTCTCTCCATAAGGAACGAAGATGAAGACAGACAAAACAAGTATATGAGAGATACTAAAGGATTTACAATAATTATCTTCATGAAACATCTATATAAAGAAATTTGAAGATTCAGTAAAGGAGAGGACAATCAATTATAAAAATAATTATTCATTCTTTCTATAAAGAACATTGTACTTAAAGTGATTGTATCATGTCTTAATAGTACGACGAAATAACAAAGTAATTTCTCAACTTTAACTTTATATTATTTCTTTGAGCATAAAAAGACTTGATTGTAAAAGAATACTTGATTATTTAAGCCTGAAGAGACTTTGTGTTCAAAGAATACTTGAGTAGTTATTTGAAGAGACAAGTTAATGAACGCTTAAGTTGAGTCTTGTGAAAGAATACTTGTATCTTTGTAAAAAATAAAGAATACTTGTATCTTTGTAAAAAAAAATAAAGAACACTTGTATTTTTGTAAAAAAAAATAAAGAATACTTGTATCTTTGTAAAAGATAATGAAACTTAATTAAGTTGATCAAAAACTAGGTATAGTCTCGATGGTTGAGACAAACTAGTATAAAAACAATGTATGTTCTTTTTTCTTAAACTCTTTGTCTGTACTCATAAGAATTTAAAATACTTCTTTACTATTTTGGGAAAGTATTGAGTTTTTGATTGATACTATTCAACTTCCATTTCTAGTATCTTTTTTTCTTCACATATATAATAATGATAATAATAATAATAATAATTTTTAGTTTTGAAAAGAAAAATAACTTAATTATTTAGCTTAAATATGTTTTTTGTCCCTTAAGTATCGTAGTTGTATGATTTAAATTGAGTAATTTTAATTCCTCATTTATCATAGTTTTACATTTCTCAAATTTTAATCGAATAATTTTAGTCTCTCAAGTATCATAATTGTATGATTTTAATTATTCAAATATCACAATTATACAATTTTTTTACTTATTTAAGTTGTATACATTATTAATTTTAGTAATAATTAATATATATCATCTAATATATATATATATAT